GGGAAACTCTTTTTTGCTTAATTTTTCTGCAAACCTAAACTGTCCTCAAAAACACAATCATTAATAAAAACGAGCAATGCTATTGAGGCATAGTCCTGTTTAAAATCAGGATACATCTAGCTGATATCTTTCTTGTTTATTTTATTAATAAATACCTTCCATTTATTACTCCTGGTGAGGAAGGGTTGTGACTATGTATGCAAAAGTGAGAGGGACTGGAGTCCTAGGCAATTCCTCCACCAGTTAGCCAGTCACCCCTCCCCCACACCGGTGTGCAGTAGTGTTCTATCATGGACTATGAACAAGCATTAATTTCCAGGATAACTCAAAGCTCTTATGTTCTGGAGAAAGACACCACTGGTCTGACTGATGACATGTTATAGACACAAACCATTGTTTGTTTATGGTATAGCACACACTATATATCCCTTGAAGGAGAAAGTAGCTTTAGTGGGTGGGCATTTCAATTTTGTGCGGTAATAATTTGGTAAACTTTGGGACAGAAAAGGATGGGTGACAAAGAAAAACAAGAACCCAAACCAAAAAAACTGCAAGCTTAAAACTACCATCTCTAAAAGTATCTCTGCCAGCAGAGAGCTGTCAGTTATGTTTGCAAGCTCCCTGTGGTAGCTAACAGACTGTCCTGTACACAGTGGGCACTTCATACTTTCTGAATGCAGAGTGAGTCTTCCTCCTCCAGGAATGGGGGCAGGGATAACACAGTACCTCCTCCAGGTGTCCGCAGCTGCCTTCCATTTATTACTGCTGGTGAGGAAGGGTTGTGACTATGTAGGCAGCAGTGAGAGGGACGAGTACTAGGCAATCCCTTCACAAGTTAGACAGTCACCCCTGCCCCCATGCTGGTGTGCAGCTGACTTTCCCTTTCAGTCCAAGCCTTCCTAAAAATAACTCCCCTTCAACCTCTCCCATCACCACTGTTCACTTCCAATGTCACACCTTCCCTTCCCTTCTTGAAAATACAGCTGACCTAAAAAAATATATAGAGAAAAACCCAGCAAACCTGTGATTTTTTGTCTTCATATGTTTGTGTTATTACTTAGTGATATTCTCTGCTGGGGACGAGTTGCAGATCCCTGTTCTCTGGCAGTTACTAGGTAATGTGGAACTTTATTAAGAAGTCAGCTTCCAATTCACAAGAATGTCTAATTTTAACTGATTGTTATTCACAGGCATTTTATTACACGTAAGTGACCATAATCATAGTCCAGGCCTACACAGTCAAGGTGAGGTAGAGCTCTGAGTTATTTTCTGCTCAGTTCTAAGGCTGCAAACAGTATTGGAGTTGTCTATAAGACAACATAATAGTACAGATTTACTTTTTAGTATCTGGCAATTTAAAAATCCATATATACTATATCTATAACTATTTATGTATCTTTTAGGCTATTTTTCCATTTTCTTATAAGAGTCACGAGGACAAGCATTAACCTGTGTAAACTCTGGGAAGGACAATTAACTATGGCACTGGCAGTACTGGACTGGTCATAGGGACCAGACACCCTCTTACTATCTTGGAGAGTCAAGAACTTCATGAATCAGGAACCATGTCAATAAATATTTTCTAAGATTCTAGGACATGTATAACATTCCCATGTGTTAATTTTACTATCCTAATTTCCGCCTCCCCCAAGTCAGCAGTGAAAACCTCAAAGCTAAAAAAGATGCTCACATGGTTATACTCAAAAGTAGGAAGGAAGGAGGAGCTGGAGAGAATGGGCTGCTCTGGCCCCCTCCTCACCTCACTGGTGACAAAGCCTTCTTGGAGAGGAAGGAGAGCCCTGGGGCTTGACAGAGGGAGGAGAGGAACAATCAGAGTAAGAAGATTAGGAGGCAGAACCTCAGGAGAGGCTTTGGACTTAGTGGTTAGAAAAGCCACTTTTCCTCTCAGAGAAGCAATTTTTGTATCTTCACTCTTGGTTTCTTCATCTTTAATATGGAGATCATATTAGCATCCTTCTTATAGGATTATTGTGATGATTAAATAAGATAGCCCATGTAAAATGCTTGGTGTAGTTCCTGGCCAAAGTAAATGTTCCAATAGTATCATTACTGGTCCAGAGTCATTACAGTCACATGGCCATAGTCCCAAGAACTACATCAGGCCAGAGGTCAAGGGCAAGTGCAGGTAGCCTTTAAATCCAAAAGGGTCAGTCATCTTATCTCCATGGAACCTCAGATGGGGAAACTGAGGATACAAAGTAAAGAAAGAATGTCCAGTCACACAGCTAATGAGCAATGGACTGCATTCAATCCTGGCTCCATTTATCTGCTATTTGCTCAATTCTATACAGCATTATATCTTCTAATATAAATATTACTTAAACATAAATGAAACTTAATTGAAAGATTTATTTCTGGAGCTGGAACTAAAAAAAATTCCAGAGTTAATTACCAGTGTAATTATATACCTTTCTCTATTTTCACACTTGAGGGGGAAGAGGTATGTGAAAAGTTATAAACATTTATTCAATCTCTGGGTCACCTACTGCCCTTTACTATTCCAGTGAATGAAGAACAGAGATTCACCAAAAGTTATTCAGTTCTGCATGTCCCTGAAAAGTGCTGCTTAAAACAGGAAATGTTTATATAATGAATTAAACAGCGATTTGCTGTGTCAATGTGTGTTTTTAAGGGAGACGGAAAGAAACATGTACTTTTGAGAGACATAAGGCCAGGAATGTGATTTTTCTAAATGCTTTGAGAGTTGTGGTTTCACATAAGGTTTATGTGCAAGCTGCCCACAAGGGCTGCAGCCTCAGCTTCCTGCTCTGGGTCTCCCTGAAAAGCCCAAAGGAGCTCTGGCATCGCATGTGCCTTGTCCAGGGCCAAGAATTTCACACAATTCTCCCTCATTACTGAGGGGCCTGAAACCTCAGTCTGCAGGAAGGTGAGAAGCAAAGAGAAGGGGACAGGGGCAAGGGAGAGCGAGTTAGCTTGAAGCCAGGCCTTTAGTTTAGCTCTTTGTCCAGATAAGGACAATGTGCATACCCTTCCGTGGTTCCCTTAAGTCCCTAAGAGTCTCTGCCAGTGACTTTGGTTGATGTTTTGAAGCAGTAAAAAAAAAAGTGCGGGAGGAAGGTGACTAATTCTGCTCAGTATTTTTGCTCTTAACATTCTTCTCTAAATACTCACATTACTAAGTAGGAGAGAACAATGATAGATTTATAAAGAAGCTCCATAGTGGCCCTGGTATGGGAACTGGACTCCTAGCCAGTTCTTTTACAGGCTAGCTGTGAGATCCTAAGCAGGCCATTAACGTGAAGGTGTAGCTTTTCCATCTGTAAAATGGGATACTAGTAACTGCCTCATAAGTATTAAAAAAGAAAATGTATACAAATGATTTAGAAGAGTTATTATTATAACTGTAATGCAACCATACCCTTACTGTGTTGTATTCTGATAAGGTTTTCTTTTTGACATGGTAGGGTAGGGCTACTCCCCAACGGTAGGGTAGGTGTATCCTCTTTGAAGGGCTCAGACATTTTTGATGCTAATTATCCAGGGAAGGGCTGTATTCTTGGTTAGAAAACTTGAATTAGACCAGAGGAAGTAACTCCCTTCCTCTCATTTTCCTGGGTCTAGAGAGCAAGAAATCTAGATATGCTTAAATCCACTCCTGCTTGTTAAGGTTTAAATGTGGCAAGTTGGAAACTAGGAAGGAGCCACAAACTGAAGATGATAAGGTCCTTCATGTAGGGTAGAACACATCACGGTCATGCAGGCAACAGATTCTAGTAGTGAAGAGTGAAGGCCTCGAGTCAGACCACCTCCTGTTGTGTAGTTTGAAGCACTGGAAAAGCAAACTCTCCAAGCAGCCTATCTCAGGACACAAGCTGGGGTTTGACCTCTGAGTGCTCCTTCCTGTGTGGAAGTGGGGGTTTATCTCACTTAAAAAGCGTGGATTTCCTTGCAAGTTCTTTAAATTTTTCAGTTACATTTATTGGGTATCATTAAAATTGTAAGACAAGGAGTTGGGACATCGCTATTTCTCTTTTTTGGAGTAGGTTTTAAAGAGATTACATGACTTGGCTCAGATCCTCTCAGTAGATGGCAATGCTCAAGGAAAATTCAGTTTTTGTTTTTTAAGTTATTCCTAGTCTAAGGAGATTTTAATTCTCCAGAATAGTAAAGTAGAAATGGTGTGAAGATTTTCTGGACTATCATTTTGTATTACTCACACCACTTACCTTTCCACTTCACCCAATTCTTTGGTAACTGAGTCAACTGTATTTAGAAGAAACATTTTCTGTAGCCCTCATGTGTACAAACTAACACCTGTGTGAACAAATTTAAATCACTATAAATTCAGTACAGAAAGGGACATAACCTGTATATATCTACCTGGCCCCGCTGAATAATTAATCAAATTATAGGTGTCATTGTTCAAAACTATGCCCTTGTTTTTCTGATTTAGCCCTAAGGTTGTATAGTATCTATGAGTGGGACCACAGATAATTTTCCAATTCTTAATTTCAGAAAAAAAAAACTCACTGTGAGTTTCTCAGTGAAAGGATGCCTTAGCAGCAAACAAAGCTATTCAAGCCTTCAAATGGTATTGGAGGGGGAAGGGTTAAGAAACATACATTGTCTTTTTACTCACCCAAACTTGGAGAAACAGTAGTTTTAAGTATGTTGTAGGAGTTCAGAGAAATAGAGATTAATGTGGTTTGGAATCTAACAAAAAGCTTTGCTTGTCAGTAAGTTATTGAAAAGAATAACTTGTCTTAATTTTTAAAATATATTTTGTTTCAAACACAAAAACAGAAAGATTATTCTAGGCACAGGGGATATACCAACAAATTAAGCATTTCCTGTCCTCAAGAGACTGCAGTTCGGTAGGAGGAAATAAGTAAATAAAGTCATTGCAATCAATGTGAGAGGCTTTTTAATATGAGTTCTGGGCCTCAGGAAGAGGTTGACAGGGATTACTACCTTCAAGGAGTAGGTGACCTTCAGGGAGGTCTTTGACAACCGGGAGGGAACAAATGCAAGGGTAGGGTGGTGGTGGTAAATGTTGGGGCAGGGAGAGAGGAAGGAAAGGCATTCCAGAATAAGCAAACTGTAAACAGCACATGAAAAGGCAGAGTGAGTGGTTGTAAACCTGCAACCAAAGCTGAGGTTTCCTCCATTTATTTCAAAGCCCTTCATAATGTCTATTGAAAGAGGGAGTTTTTAAAAACAAGCAACTCTAATGACTATAAAACTTAAAATATGTGTGAATGCTAATAATTACTTTCCCATATTTTGGGGTTATTATTTTATTATTAACTGTAAGTACCTATCTTCTAGTATGAACCATTCTGTGATTCAATTGCTTATATTCAAAGAGAATTTTGGTCACAGCACCAGATGGAAAGCTTCATAGAAAAAATCTATTTTAATAAACAATAATAGTTTGCTTTAGGGTTTCCTGATTACAGAACCAGAATAAAAGGAGCATAGAAGCTGTAAGAAAATCATTAAATACTAATGAATTTTGAAGGCCTCTTAGAATTTAGTTGTTTATAGCTTTTACGTAACACCAAATCATTCCCATTAGTCCACATACACTTAAAAATCACCTGAGATTAGTTTTAAAACTATATATTCGCTTGTACCCCAACTAGGCATTATTCAAAAATAATTTAAAAGGCATTCTAGTGTACTGCACTTATTCTTAGAATGAGACAAAAATGTAACATCCTGCTACTGCTTCAAAGTTTCGGAAAAGCGGGATTTCAAACTTTCCGCTAGCAACCCTGACTGTAGGTCAAGTCAAATCCCCAGCCGAGCACCCCGTGGCGTTCCGGTTAACAGGGAGCATACAGGCCTCTTCTGTTGCTAGGAGAACCTTCTATTTCTGGGGCAGAAAGCGCAACCCTGACGGCGCAGCGCGTGCGCCCACCGAGCAATACGCCGCGGGCCCATGTCCTCTCGGACGGGTCTAATGGCTGCGGGGTCCTCCCTCGCGCCGGTCCTTAGGGTCAGCCCGCTGGCCGGAAGGCGGGGCTCAGGGATGGCGGGTCGCCTCCCTTGTCCCCGAGACCGAGTGCTTCCGCCACCCCTGCTCCCCAGCTGCGTTTTAAAACCTGCAGTAAAAAATGTCGAGCAACGCCACGTCGCACAAACGAGAGTTGGGGGGGTCAGTGTGTGTGATGTCCCCAAATGGGTCAGAAACTCGAGAGTCGGGGGTCGTCGGCAGCTCACCCGCTCATCCCGTCTAGGCCGGAGAGAGCCGGCCCGGGGGGGAGGGGGTGTCGCAGGAGGCAGCGGGGGTGCGCGGAGGCTCCCCTCCCCCGCCCAACGCGCCGCGGGGGCTAGAGGAGGCAAGGACGCGGCGACCGGGCTAAGACGGGCTCTCCTAGGAGACCGGCCCCGCAACAAGATGGCGGACGATAAAGAAAGGGAAGGCACAGGTAAGACCGCCTGGGGAGCGGCGGCCCTCGCCGCCCGCCGCGACCGGGCCGCCAACGGCGCCGCCGGGTGGCGGGTCACCCGCCTTGAGACCGCAGCGCGCCAGCAGACTGCGGGGGCCGCCTGCCGGGCTCCCGCGCCCTTCCGCGCCGGCGCTCAGCCCCGCCCCGTCCCCTTCCTCCCCGGGGCCCAGCCCCGCCCCTCTTCGCTCTCCTCCCGGCGGCCCGCTCCTCGCTCGTCGGCCCGCCCCTCCTTCCCCGGGTTCCCGCGCGGTGGAGGCCCGGGCACCGGCAGGCCTGGGCGGTAATGGCGTCCTTGCTGACGGGCGTGGGCACCCCTCCCTCGGGCCCTGGCCCAGTCTCGGGGGCGTGGGCGCCACGTGGACGGCTGCCCAGGCTGTGGGCGCCCGGCGAGGGGGTCCTGGGCGGGGACTCGGCTGGCCGCCCGGACCTTCCGGGATCCTGTCGGGCGCGCCGAGAGCCCGCCTGGCCGGCCGATGGCGTCTGCGGCCACCATTTTGCCTCCTTGGCGGGGACGTGGGAAGACGGCCGCGGGGTCCAGCCCTCCGTCCGCGCCCCCAGCGTCCGAAGCGCCTGCTCGCCGCCGCGCCCCCCGTCGGGTGACTTGTGTTAAAACGCGAAAACAAAGACGGAAGAGCAGAGGGGAGCGTGGAGGCCAGCGCGGCTCCGGGCGCCGGATCCGAGGGGTGGATGCGGTGGCGAGGCGAAAACCTACTATCCACGATTACTTGCAAGACCATATATTGTTGCCATTCAGCGGTTTGATTAAAAAGCCGACCCTTCATTACCATACTGTTAGTAGTTCAATAATAATAGTCCATGTTTGGTAATAGGCAGACTCGTTGCAAAAACAAAGAAAAGCATAACACTACAGAGATAAAACGTCTCAGAAGTGAAAATAACCCACCCTTGGTTCTTGAGTGTTTAAAACACCCTATCAACATACCACTTTTCTCAGCATGGAACAGAGTGTAAGGTTGACAACTAATATTTACAGTTGAAGAAATCAGCTTTGAGGTATTTAGTCGCTTGCCCTGCTGCGGAGAAACACGAGACTGCCACAGATCTGCCTATTGGTAACGGTGTTTGTTAAATGGTACTGTTAGTTTGAAAAGGCCGAATTATTTTATAGCCGATACCTTTCCAGAGATGTACTTAAATTTTTATCACGCTGCATTGAAAGTACAAGGTACGTTCTAAGAAAATGATTCCTTTTTAAGGTTAATAAAAAAATTTACCTGGAAAACCAAATGCCTTATTTTTTTTAAAAAAATTCTCATTTACAAAAAATGGGAAAACCATTAGATATTGTGGTGTTTTAAAGATTTAATTAGGTCAGCATGATAGGCAAAATGCACTGGATTAGGCTACAAATAAAATTTTTTCTTTAAAAAAACATGGAGAACTTTACTGATGATTCAGTTTCCAAAAATACTTTTCTATTTAGATTAATTCAGAGGAAGAAACAATTCTGTCTATAGCTATAGAAAAAGTAGTGACTGTTAAAGCTGATACCATTCATTCAGATGGCATTCTGATTAGGTTAGAATTTTGGAGGCTACAAAGATGAAAGAACCATTTTTTTTTTCTCCCAAGAAAGGTGTTATCAGTCAGGGAGATAAGACATCCACAAATGGGAGGGACAGTTACCTGGGCTGAGCAGCCTGTGAACCAGACACGGTGTCAGGTTGTGTTATATCCCTTCCTGTTCCGTGGGCAGCGCCTGGGCATCCTGGTTGCTTATGGGAAATGGAGAATCTCAGTGCCTGCCCCTGACCTTTTAACATAGAGTGTGCGTTTTCAAAGATGGGCAGGTGACCCATGTGCACATTAAAGTTCGAGAAGCACTGTTACATGGTGTATCTCATTTATTCTTAGCGGTTTCATGAGTTAGCTAAAGTTGCAGTTTGAAGGGCATCATGAAATAAAGTGTTGTTTGAGGATAAGCTAAAGACTCGTTTGGTGATACCATCTTTGTATGGACATATTCCACTCCTCTATTTGATCCTCAGTTCTTAAGTTTCAGAATTACCAGTTAATGAGAATTGATCAGGCTTTGGGGATTCACTCAAGCTAACTAAACTCAGGAAGAGTAATGTGCAAACTGGAATAATGATTTTTTTTTAAATTCAACCATTAAAGCCATTGTTTAATCATGATAAAATACATATAACAAAACTTACTATCTTAATTGTACATCTGAAGTGTACAATTCAGTAGTGTTAGGTATATTCAATCATACAACCAATCTCCAGGTATTTTTTCTTGTAAACCTGAAAATCTGTGCCTACACAACCCCCCATACTTTGCAGCCCTGGATATCCACCATTCCACTTTGTGTTTCTGTGAATTTGACTATTCCAGGTACCTCATACAAGTGGAATCATGCAATATTTGTCCTTATGTGTCTGGCTTATTTCACGTAGCATAATGTCCTCAAGGTTTAGCCATGTTGAAGCATGTGTTAAGAATTTCCTTGCTTTTTAAGGCTGAAAAATATTCTATTGTATGTAAAAAAAAAATACCACATTTTGTTTATTCATTTGTCAGTAGACACTTGGGTTGCTTCCCCCAGAATAATGATTTTTAATTCAAATCTGGGTATGTTGATACACTGTCTGGAAAACTGATCTCTGCAAGGTAATACATTGTTTTACAGGTATTAAGCTTTTGGGGACAGAATGAAGTTGTATTTCAAAAGTTGCTTCATGTGCGTGGAATCACACAAAAGAAAGGATGATTTTGGAGGATATATCCATTACCCTATAGCTCCAAGAGGGTGGGTAACATTTTCTGATCTGTTATAATCAGTGTCTTTCAGAGTGCTCAGCACAGGGTAGAAACTCAGTATTTGTTGAATTCAGGTCATGTGAATTAAAGATGTTATGTTTTAACCAATGCTTTACTTGCCATTTCCCAAAAATCTGTTCTATACTTAAAAGTACATAAAACTATTTTTAGTTTTTTTTCCACTTCCTTGCAGATGAGTGATCTATTACATCTGGCTTAATGAACATTTTGAGATCCAAGGTATTCATTGGCCTGTCTTTAAAAAACAATGACAAAAATCCTCTTTGTAGAAATATACATATGTTTTATTTATTTTCTTCCTTTTAAAATTGAACTACAGTTGATGTACAACATACATATGTTCTAAATAACTCATCTTTAATCTTGCATTTTTTTTTTAAGTTGTAAAGGAAGAGTAATTTACTGGATATCCATCATATCCAGCTTTTCTTCAACATTTAAGGATTTATCTTGATACAAGTATTGGTAATATTGGTAAGAAAAATTACATAAATCTATGATAGGGGCTATTATGTTCTATTTATAAAATTTTTCTGTAAGATTATGTGCATTGAAGTTGTATTTATTTGTGGCATTTTTTTGCTCTAATGGAATAATTTATTTTTTCCAGATTAGAAAACATAGTTATGTTAGCTAAAAGAAGAAAGAATTTCTATTTTAGAATCAAGTTAATTTTCAAAATCACCTAATTTTATTTGTTTTAGTGAAAGGAGAATGTTTGAAATGGGGTAACAAAAACTTTTTTTAAAGTTCTATCATTTCTCTAAAGTGGCCTCAGCCAGAACATTATTTTCTTTCTTTTCCTTCTGTTTTGTTTTGTTAGTTTAAATGGAGAATCAATGGAATTGCTGATTCTTTGGATCTTTAAATCTCATTTTATTGTTTCTGTCTCCTTGACAGTTTCGTATAGGATTGGAAGGACCTTCTGTCTGTGAATCTAGGAAACTAACTGCTTAGGAATAAAATTCTAACTCTTGGCAGGCCAGTGAGCTTTGGATGGTATATCAGATTTTTTAGTGAGCCTCAGATGCTCAAAACTTACTCTATGGTGTACTATTTTTGTTTGTACTAAAATATTCTTTTTTTTTGCATGCTTTGATAACTTTGCTTGGTAAAGTGCCTCCAATTCAATTTTCAACTCTTAGATGGAAAAGGTTTTACAAGTTTTTTGATTTCTGTCTTTTTCCTGTATTGTGCCATTCCTCTCAAAGCCCAACATTTGGAAATCTAAAGGGAAAAACAAACAAAAGTGAATATTACTTTTTAGAAGGGGAACTGTTGGTAGTACAGAGTGTAGTATAGAATAGTAGAAAAGATGAACTTTAGAGTAAGACCTGAATTTGAATTCCAACTTCTGCAAGCTCTGTCTGATTCTAGCAAAGATGCTAAACCTAAGGAGCTTCAGGTTCCTCAAATGTAAAGTAGGAATGATTACACCTGTTTCATAATGATGTTGAAATGGGGGTAGCATCTTCTTATTAATCTTTATATCCCCAGCACCCACCACAATGCCTGGCATTAAAGAAATGCTGAATAAATAGGAAGCAAAATGTTTGATACATTCTAGGCCGTAAGTAGCTATTAGTATATGTGTGACATGGAATTTAAGGGTTAATAAAAACTCAAGTCTGAGTCTGAGTAATTGTTGATCACTCATGATGCATTTGTGCATATTTTGGGGCCATTTGGTAAGTTTTCTTTCTATTTTGGATTGATAAACATCTAGGTAGAGACTAAATGAAGAAGAAAACTGACTTACTGAAACTTAATTTGCTTCCTCTAGTTCAGAATTACTAATTTTAAAAACTGGACTGAAATTTATCTTTATTTAAATGTATAAAAATTTTTCAAGAAAATTCATAATTTAAAAAATCTAATGGACAGTGAGATACCACTTTGCATCCATAAGGATGGCTATTATTAATAATAATAGTAAGAGTTGGTGAGGATATGGAGACATTGGAACCCTTATGTGCTGTTGATGGGAAAGTGAAGTAGTGCAGCTGCCTTGGAAAATAGTATGGCAGTTCCTCAAAAAATTAGATAATTGAATTACTGTATGAACTAGCAATTTCACATCTTGGTTTATACCCAAAATAATTGAAAGCAGGAACTCAAATAGATATTTGTACTTCCATATTCATAGCAGCATTATTCACAATAGCTAAAAGGTGGAAGAAACTCAAGTGTCCTTCAGTGGATGAGTGGATAGACAAAGTGCTGTATATACATACAATGAAATATTATTCAGCCTTAAAAAAGAAGGAAACTTTCACATACACTACCACAGAGATGAACCTTGAAAACCTTATGCTAAGTGAGTTTAGCCAGTCACAAAAAGGCAAATACAGTATGATTCCACTTACATAAGGTCCCTAGAGTAGTCAAATTCATAGTAACAAAAAGCAGGATGGTGGTTGCCAGGGGGAGGGGAAAAGGGAAGTTGTTATTTAATAGGTACAGAGTTTCAGTTTTGCAAGATGGGAAGAGTCCTGGAGATTGGTTGTACAACTATGTGAAGGTACTTAACACTACTGAACATTTAAAAATGTTAAGATGGTAAAATTTTTATGTCTTTTTTACCTACAGTTTAAAAAAGTCAAACGGAAATGTCAAGTACATCCAAAATGAAAAAAGTGGTACATTGTTTTTGGAAGGCAATTTGGAAATTTGTAGTAAAGAAAAAAATGATATCCACATGCTATGATTCTTAAATATACTCCTGGGTATTTATCCTTAGAAATACATTCTGAAAAGAAGAAAAAAGTGATAAGCATCAAAATGATTTTTTAAAAGTTACTTATAAATTTGAAAATATGGATAAAATCTACTTGTCCAACAAATAGGGGATGCAAAAGTAAGCCATTATGTGTTAACTTGCTGGATTGCAGCCATTTAAGTATATAAAAATCATATGTGTGTTTGGGTAAGGATTACAGGGAAACAGGAGAAGATGAAATCAGGGATTTTAAGGAGGATTCATTTAAAAAGCCTCATTATTTTAATGTTATTTCTACTAAAGTTTTAAAACCCACTTAGTGTTATCATTTTTATATTTTAAAATGTGTATGCTAACTGTAAATTATTCTTAACCACTTGTGAAAACGTATTTACCGTATCCTGTACTTGACAATGCTTTGTAAGCCTTTAGTGTGGATTTTATAGCTATTATGAATATAATAACATAATTTATTTTTCAAATGTAGCAATTAATTTAGAGTCTAAAGACCTGGGCTTGAATTTGGACTTCTTTAAAAATTTTTTTCAGGTTTTACTTAGCATGTCACTTAACTTCTCTGAACTTCAGTTCATAGGGTTCCCAAGCATTTATTCTGAAGTAGTCACTGGAGTTAAATGTTTTACATGAGTTTTGTCATTTATTCCTTCCAGTAAACCTGTGTGATAGACAACTCTATTAATCCCTTTCTACAAATGAAGAAATGGGCTTAGATAGGTAAAGCAGACTTCCAATTTCAGCTCCAACAGGTAACATCTTAGAAGTTGCTTCTATCACTATAATCTAGAAGAAACACTTGGTAATTTTGGGAAATGGTTGGAGGCTTTGAGGACTACCATAAACGTGAGAAACTTCCTAGGAGCCTGTAGTATTAGGAGGTGGCTCACATTTCATTGGTTTTAAAAAAAATTTTTTTATTAAAGTATGATTGATATACACTCTTATGAAGGTTTCACATGAAAAAACAATGTGGTTACTACATTTACCCATATTATCAAGGCCCCACCCATACCCCAATGCAGTCACTGTCCATCAGTGCAGTAAGATGCCACAGATCCACTATGTGCCTTCTCTGTGCTACACTGTTCTCCCCGTGGTCCCCACACCATGTGTAGTAAACATAATACCCCTCAATCCCCTTCTCCGTCCCTCCCTGCCCTCCCTCCCACACCTCTCCCTTTTGGTAACCACTAGTTTATTCTTAGAGTCTGTGAGTCTGCTGCTATTTTGTGCCTTCAGTTTTGCTTCATTATACTCCACAAATGAGGGAAATCATTTGGCACTTATCTTTCTCTCCATTATCTCTCTCCTGAGCATAATATCCTCCAGCTCCATCCATGTTGTTGCAAATGGTAGGATTTATTTCTTTCTTATGGCTGAATAGTATTCCATTGTGTATACGTACCACCTCTTCTTTATCCATTCATCTACTGATGGACACTTAGGTTGCTTCCATATCTTGGCTATTGTAAAAAGTGCTGCAATAAACATAGGGGTGCATATGTCTTTTTTGAATCTGAGAACTTGTATTCTTTGGGTAAATTCCAAGGAGTGGAATTCCTGGGTCAAACGGTATTTCTATTTTTAGTGTTTTGAGGAACCTCCATATTGCTTTCCACAATGGTTGAACTAGTTCACATTCCCACCAGCAGCGTAGGAGGGTTCCCTGTTCACCGCATCCTCGCCAGCATTTGTTGTTCTTTGTCTTTTCAATGCTGGCCATCCTCACTGGTGTGAGGTGATATCTCATTGTGGTTTTAATTTGCATTTCCCTGATAATTAGTGATGTGGAGCATCTTTTCATGTGTCTCTTGGCCATCTGAATTTCTTCTTTGGAGAACTGTGTCTTCATATCCTCTGCCCTTTTGTTAATCGGGTTATTTGCTTTTTGGGTGTTGAGGCATGTGAGTTCTTTATATATTTTGGATGTTAATTCCTTTGTCGGATATGTCATTTACAAATATATTCTCCCATTCTGTAGGATGCCTTTTTGTTCTGTTGATGGTGTCCTTTGCCGTACAGAAACTTTTTAGTTTGATGTAGTCCCATGAGTCCATTTTTGCTTTTGTTTCCCTTGCTCGAGGAGATGCATTCAGGAAGAGGTTGCTCATGCTTATATTCAGGAGATGTTTGTGTATGTTGTCTTCTAAGAGTTTTATGGTTTCATGACTTACATTCAAGTCTTCAATCCATTTTGAGTTTACTTTTGTGTATGGGGTTAGACAATAATTCAGTTTCATTCTCTTGCATGTAGCTGTCCAGTTTTGCCAACACCAGCTATTGAAGAGGCTGACATTTCCCCATTGTATGTCCATGGCTCCTTTATCATATGTTACTTGCCCATATATGGTTGGCTTTATATCAGGGCTCTCTAGTCAGTTCCATTGGTCTATGGGTCTGTTCTTGTGCCAGTACCAAATTGTCTTGATTACTGTGGCTTTGTAGTAGAGCTTGAAGTTGGGTAGCGTAATGCCCCCAGCTTTATTCTTCCTTCTCAGAATTGCTTTGGCTATTCGAGGTCTTTTGTGGTTCTGTATGAATTTTAGAATGATTTTCTCTACTTTGTTGAAGAATACTGTCAGTATTTTGATAGGAATTGCATTTAATCTATAGATTGCTTTAGGCAGAATGGCCATTTTGACAATATTAATTCTTCCTATCCATGAACATGGGATGTTTGCATTTGTTGGTATCTTCCTTAATTTCTCTTAAGAGTGTCTTGTAGTTTTCAGGGTATAGGTCTTTCACATCCTTGGTTAGGTTTATTCCTGGGTATTTTATTCTTTTTGATGCAACTGTGAATGGAATTGTTTTTCTGATTTCTCTCTCTCCTAGTTCATTGTTAGTGTATAAGAATGCCACAGATTTCTGTGTATTAATTTTGTATCCTGCAACTTTGGTGAATTTAGATGTTAGATCTAGTAGTTCTGGAATGGATTCTGTAGGGTTTTTTATGTACAATATGTCATCTGCAAACAGGGACAGTTTAACTTCTTCCTTACCAATCTGGATGCCTTTTATTTCTTTGTGTTGTCTGATTGCCATGGCTAGGATGTCCAGTACTATGTTGAATAAAAGCGGTGAAAGTGGGCATCCTTGTCTTGTTCCCGATCTTAAAGGAAAAGCTTTCAGCTTCTCACTGTTAAGTATGATTTTGGCTGTGTGTTTGTCATATATGGCCTTTATTATGTTGAGATGCTTGCCCTCTATACCCATTTTGTTGAGAATTTTTATCATGAATGGATGTTGAATTTTGTCAAATGCTTTGTCAGCATCTATGGAGATGATCATGTGGTTTTTTTTATTTATTTATTTATTTATTTATTATTTATTTAT